CCCAGCGCACCCAGGCCTGACCCACCCGCTCCAGCCCCCTCCCCGGCTCCATGGCGAGGACGGACCCCTGACGGCGGGCACCCGCGGGCCGGAGGAGACGCCGCCGGGCACGGCCCAGGGAAATGCCCTCGGTAGCCCTGACAGCATCGGGTCCTGTCCTGGCCCTGCCGCCGCCCTGAGCATCCCGTCCCCCCACCCCAAGGGCAAGGAGAGGCAGCCAAGATGGTGATGTCCCAGGGCACCTACACCTTCCTCACCTGCTTCGCGGGCTTCTGGCTCATCTGGGGGCTCATCGTGCTGCTGTGCTGCTTCTGCAGCTACCTGCGGCGGCGGGTGAAGCGGCAGCAGGAGGAGCGGTTGCGGGAGCAGAGCCTGCGCGCGCTGGAGCTGGAGCCGCTGCACTATGAAGGTTATGGGGGCAGCCCCCCCGGCATCGCCATTCCCCACCGCCTCCGCCTCGAGCCCCACCATCATCACCCCCACCACCACATCCCACCCCCCCGACCCTGGAGCTGCCGGCACGGTAAGGAGCAAGGAAGGGGCTCTCGGCAGCCCCGGAGCGCGCGCCTCCCCCTTTTTGGTGGAGGTACATGGCAGGAGAGCCAGGGTGCGGCACTGATGGCAGCAGGGGTCCGGGGGGGTCTTTGCCTTGCAGAGTCAGACCTGTCGAAGCCGCCGTGTTACGAGGAAGCACTACTGATGGCGGAGCCCCCCCCGCCGTACAGCGAGGTGCTGATGGACACGCGGGGGCTCTACCGCAAAATCAACGCCCCCTTCCTGAGCCACGAGCGGCTGGAGAAGCAGGAGCAGCCCCCCAGCTACAAACCCCTTTTCCTGGACGCCGGCTACGGCTCGGCGCTGCACCTGCCCCGCTCGGCCAGCCCAGGCCCTGCCTGCCCGGACCTCTACCTGCAGGCAGAGTGCTCCCCCCGCATGTTTCCCAGCTGGACGGACTCGGAGCTCAGCAGCAGGGACACCTACGAGCCGGGACCCTGGCACCTCCCGGTCTCCATGCCCCTCTTCGGCAGGACTACCGCTGTCTAACGGCGGCCCCGAGGGACCCCCGGACCTTGCTGCGGGTGCCCCTCTGGCACCAGGGAGGGCAGGGGGTGGGGGTGTTTTTG